GTCTGCGTGAAGCACGACTGGAGCCGAGCACGGAGCCACGACCCGCAGGGCAGCACAGCGACTCCCCACGGCGCTCACAGGGCAGCGGGGCTGCAGCCCCCCCCCATCAGCAGCTCCTCCTTCATGGAATGCACCCAGCGCCACGGAGCATCGCTCCCAACGTGGCAGCAGCCAACAGCGTGAATCACAGCGCAGCAGCGCAGCACGCAGCTCCTCACCGCGCAGCCAAAAGGGCCCCAGCAGCCCGGAGCCGCCCAGCCTTACCCTTGTTGTTGTAGACGTCCAGGTAATTGGGCGCAGAGAAGATGGTGATTAAGGACGGAAAGCCCGTGGTCTGGCTCTTCCTGTACATTCGGTACCTGAGGAAGAGGGGAGGCTGAGCAGCGCTGCGCCGGGGCGGCGCGGAGGCGACGCTGTGCACCCAAACCTACCCTGCGTCCTGGGCCTCGTGAGCGCGGATTACAGAAAGCAAACTGTTGTTCTGCAAAAAATCACAAACTGCAGGATAACTGGAAAACAAAACCACACGTGGGTTAGCACAGAGCACAGCAGAGCCGCTCGCAGCCCCGCGGTGCCCAGCTGCCCGGCACAGCTCGGATCCCATCACAGAGACGGACTGAAAGCGTTCCGCAGAGCCGACCCCGCTGCCACGCTCCCCATTCAGCAGCTCGAGGGCAGCACTGCTTCACTTTCAGAGAGGACGGGTTGCCTCCCTGCGCTGCCAGCAGCCCTGCTTGGGCACAAGAGAAAACCTTGGGTCCACCCAGCATGGGAGGAACGGCCCCAGTCGGCACAGCGGGGCTCGGGTTGGACGTGGGGAAAAATATCTCGGGAAGAGCGGGGCTGTGAGGGGGGCCGCCATCCCTGAGGGCTCCAGAGCACACGGGTGGGTCGGGGTCCTCACCCACCTCGGCCTGAGGTCCTTTCGCCCCCCACTCACCTATAGAAATAGGAGCAGCCCCGAACGGTGTTGTGGGCAAAGTGCTCCACCGACTTCTCGCTGCCGTAATCCTCCGAGGGGTCGGACCACAGCAGGTCGCACATGGGCCCGAAGGCGGGGGGCTCCTTGAACCTGTCTAACTGAAGGGGGCACGGCGCCTCAGGGCAGCGCCCAGCCTCCAGCCTCCGGCCCCCCGCACGGCACCTCCCCACCAGGATCCATGCAGCCCCACGCAGCAGCACCCAGCGCCCAGCGCCCAGCGCCCAGCACCCAGCACCCAGCACCCAGCGCCCAGCACCCAGCACCCAGCACCCAGCGCCCAGCGCCCAGCACCCAGCGCCCAGCGCCCAGCGCCCAGCACCCAGCGCCCAGCGCCCAGCGCCCAGCGCCCAGCGCCCAGCACCCAGCGCCCAGCGCCCAGCACCCAGCGCCCAGCACCCAGCGCCCAGCACCCAGCACCCAGCACCCAGCACCCAGCGCCCAGCGCCCAGCGCCCAGCACCCAGCACCCAGCGCCCAGCGCCCAGCGCCCAGCGCCCAGCACCCAGCACCCAGCGCCGCGCTCCTCCCTGCATCCGAGCAGGGCTGCACCCCACGACTTACTTTCCGAATGTCGTCTAGACAGGTGATTTCTGGAGACAGCCCCCCGTGGACGCACAGGAATTGTTGGTTGAGGAGGGCGGCGAGAGGAAGACAGTCGAAGGTGTCCATGCAGGCATCGTAAACCCGCTCCGAGTACTTGATCCGACCTGGGGGGCACAGGGTCAGCGTGGGGCACGGCTGGAAGCACAGCTCACTGCTGCTGCTCGCAGCCCCTCCTGCAGCCCCTCCTGCACAGAACGAGGAGCGCGGAGCACAGCTCCCATCCATCCCGACCCACGGAGCCCGCGGTGCCACTCACACTCCTGTTTGAAGGTGAAGTACTCGGTCAGGTGCCTGCACTCGTGGTTCCCTCGCAGGAGGAACAGTGTTTTGGGATGGTTTATCTTCAAGCTCCATAAATACAGCACGCACTGCAGGAAAGGGAAGGAGGGCCGAGCGTAAAACCCCAACGCAGGGGCTCACGGCTGCGGGCTGCAGCACAGCTGCTGGGTGGACACCCAGAGAGGAGCCCTGAGCGCAGCCCAGCCCTACAAGCAGCTGCAGACCCCAGAGCTGCAGCCCTGCAGAGCGGCTCCTGCCCTGAATACGAGCACAAGCTGCGCGCAGCCAGCAGAAACGGCGCCTCATGGCCTCGGGTGGCGGAGGGACGCTGCACAGGAGCAGGCAGAACAACGCCACCGTGGGAAGCGCTGAGCTGCAGCTCCGCACCGAGCGGCTGAGGTCTCTGTTCAGCTTTAATCACCGCACAGGAGGCAGCGAGTTGAAGGCCGGCTAAATTACGGCACGTGCGATTCTTAATTAGCCGGCGCTGGCGCGTCCCGTTGTAATTGGATTTGAAAAAGCGACCTGGCAAAGGTGCACAGCACCACTGCTGCACCTCTGGGATGCACAGAGCGCGTTGCTGCTCACTGCATTCCTGCCCTCAGAGCCCCGCAGGGCGCCGCAGCTCTGGGTTCAGCACAGATCCCTGCTGCAGGAGCGCAAACGCAGCCGGAAGCCGTGCAACGAAGCGCAGCTGCTCTGCACGAAGCTCCGGCCCCCTGCAGGGAAGCCCCCAGCCCCACACCTCCCACTGCCCCGCGCTGCTACAGGGCAGCCCTCCGTTTGGTTGCAGACATGAGAGCCGTCAGCCCTGCGCTGCTGCACAGCCCAAC